TTAAAGGACAGCAGCCATCTATGCGACCAATCGTTTAATCGACAAAGATTTTTCCGGAAGTTATCTTCGTCGGCAGCATACTTCATGACCTTCCATATTTTTACATCATCTGCAAAGTAGCCAAAGTATCCCCGCAAAGTTTCTTACGGCTGGCGTGTTTAAAGCCTTAACGCTTGATTAAGGCGTGGTTAATGCCTATTTTATGCGTTCATAGTCGGAAATAAATTCAAGCCACTTGTTATTGTTTTACTGAACCAAAACTTATATGAAAAGCATGTGCAAGGACCAACATCGACCGGAAAACTCCTATTGCTTAGAAACGGTCGTTTTTAGCCCAGTATCAATATAACAACAACTCCTATTGGTTAACATAACCAAGGGAACGTTCGAATAGGCTGAATTTCGACCTCATGAAAAGCTGGAAGCAGGTTTTACTTATTAAGGTTCCATTATAGGTGGCCACAGGAGTAACTCTCAAATAGGGTTCTTTCTCTCAACAAAATAAAGCATATGAATGCATTAATGCAGCACATGAAAAGAAAGCGATGTCAAAGCAAATAAGCAAAGGTGAAGCACATCTCAAACTAAAGGATAGAATAATATTACAAGACAGAAGAGAATTTTGGCCGAAATCAGTCATTCTGACATTCTAGCTGCCCACTCTCATGAACCAAAAGCGTTCGCCTCAAAACTGTTCCTCTTAACTGCCAGGGCTCTGCTTAACAGCATGCCCCTACTACTGCTGTTGTCTTCAGTTTAGTTCAGTCTTATTAAGGGAAGGAAAAGCAAACGCCGTCGAGCTTCCTATTGGTGACACGATGCTGAAGATAAGTTCAAAACATGGTCGTTTACATGATTTCAGCCGCCAGTTTTCGAAAATAGTAAATCTACAAGACTGCTCACTTTTAAGGAGTGATATATTTACATCGAAATAGAGCATCGGCTCCCTGGCGATGCCAAATTGCACGAGCCAGTAGGTTGGACTCAATCGAAAGTAGCAGACCGTGAAATAGCAGACCGTCCTTCGACATTCGTAGGGACCTCGTAGGGTCAAACAATAGTAGAAATCTATAAGAAAGCCCCACTTGCATCTGCTAAATACTTCGATTTACACCCCTATTTCCATTTTACGTTTGATGTGTAAATCGAACTACTGTGCACATGTTAATGGGATTTTGTTATAGATAAACTGCTGCTTATCAATTAAAAACATTCTTCTCGAAGAAGATAATATTTTCCCACTACTTCCATCGCTTTCATGGTTTTCTCTCATCTGCCTTATAGGCAGCCATTT